CCCCCCCCCCCCCCCCCCCGCCTGGCTGTCAGCAGCTGGTCACTAATTGTGCCGCAGCGCTGAGCTCAGCTAATTGACCCGACAGAGATGGATCAGGACTTCGCAGTCTGCTGTGTCTGCTCGCTGTGGGGTGTGTGTGTGCATTTGTTTGGATGTTTCCATCCCAAGCTGCTTCAGACAGTGTGGTGCTATCTCCCAAATGAGTCCAAACTTTGAGACAACAAAATAAAGATGCAGAAAGCCTTTCATTTACTGTTGACATGTCATCATAGGCCAATCAAACCTCCATGTAGATGTGGAGCCTGAACAGCAAAGGTTTCCCTTGTGTGTGTTCAGAACACTCGCTAAGGCCTGTCTGTCATTCTGTACAAGAACAGAACAAAGGAACATAAGTGGATGATGAGTGGGAGGGATTACTCTGTCAGTGCAGCTGAGTAAGGCAGGTCTGTTTTAGCCGGGCTTATGAAGTATGATCATTTGCTCAGGATACTGGTTAAAGAAAGGACATTGAGCAGTATATTCTATGCAGTATGTGTGTGTTCATGACTGTCCACACAGTCTCAAACACAGAAATAATACCCAGTGCCCGTGTACTCCCCTGGCACTGTTGATTTAGTGGAGCAGCAGCAATCATCTTTTTTCTTCAAGAGTAGGTTTTTCTACCAATATCAAAAGCTTTGTAGGTGAGCTTTTAGACACTGGAATGACAACTGAAAATGTTGCATTCAGCTCCCTTTAGCCCTGTTCACACTGACATAAGTGTGTCTCAGATGTGGGCCCTCAAAGCAGCATGTGTCTTCCCATTCCTTTTGGCGCACTTTTTGTTGTTTTATGCCAAATGTAGACACGCACCAGTCATGTGAGTGGGACGTTTTTGAAATGGCCACATTCAAAGCACATTTAGGACTAGTGATTCAAATAATGACTAAATTGCAATTTGTCCCTGGTGTATAAGGTATAAGATATCATTAGTTAATATAATATATAAGAATATCTATATAATTAATCAGTTTGGAGTTTACCAACTGAACTCACCACAGGTTTAGTTGATTTACTTACTGTGGAACATAAAGAAACCACTTAAAATACCACAAACACCCCATAACATATGTCTCTGTCAAATGCCTAGTTCTTTTCTTTAGAGGCTTGCCAGCAGAGACCTGACAAAGTTTGGCTTTTTAGAATAGAAAGGAAAGAAGTAAGGAATCCACAGTCTTTTTTATAGCACCCTGAATGCAAACTCTCAGTATGACATAGAAATTTCTTGCAGTGACTAAAGCCCATACCTTGCAATAACAGGAGCAAATAGAATTCTGTTACGCACTCACAAACAAACCATTTGATTACACGAGTGTGAGCTGAAAGAGGACTGGTGTCACCACAGGCCGCTGAACTCTCTGCAGAGGCATTTCTCTAATGAAGAGCTCCGATTCAGTCACTGATTAGAGCCCAGCTCATGGGGGTAAACAGGTCATGCACATTATCCTATTTCTTTCGCCCCTTCCCCCAACCCCACTGGGACAATTAGCCCACTGAGATCAAACAGTGAATTGAGTGTGATGATGTTATTATTGGCTGGTGGAATGATGGCTCACACATCAAATATCCAGGCCATCCCATGTCTGAATGCAAACTTTAACACAGTTTTTGTAGTTCACCAGATCCTTCATGGGGGATGCAGAAAATAAGCAGTCTTTCAGGGTTTTAAATTTGCTTCTTCAAGACAGAGGAAAAGAGTGTAAGAGGTGTGTGTGGGAGGCAGCATTTCTTGATCCAAAGCCGACTTAATGCCTCAAACAAAAGCTCGAGTGTGGGTGAGCGGTTCTGAATATCCTTTGCTTCAGAGGGAAATGAGGTACTGTTGGGAGGAGCAAGGGCTAGGTTTCCTACGCAAAGCCCCCTTTATAATTGAATGCAGCCATCTTTACAATTCAAGCTGTGCAAGAAAAAAAGTCTTTAGGATATGCTGGCACATGTTCATATGCACACACCTCTCTTTGTCTCCGTTCCCTCTCCTCGCACAAACTCAAGTACAGTGCAGATAAGTGAAGAGCAGCCTGAAGTGCGTGCTCTCCTCATCCCTGTCCAAGGCTTAAATTGCTATTGAAACATGTAAGAGAGGACCTGCAGAGCTCATGCCATAACATTTCAGTCTCAGGTTGTTCAGGGTCTAAATCTATCTGCAGACCTAATCCCCTGAGAAATAACCAGAACTCCAAACTGTTAAATCATAAGCACAGAGTCTGTGGAGGGAGAATTACTGGAGCAGTCTCAATTTACCCTAAAATATGATGTGTTTTGCCCTCTCCCCTTCCCCTGTAGGTGTAATCACTAAACTCAAAATGATTTTGCATCTTGAGCTCTGAATTGTTTATTTTTCTTCATGACAGTAATCTCTTGTCTTTATTTCTCTATTTCTGTGGTGATTATGACGTGTGATGTTGCCAGAAAGTGAGCTGTTGGAGAGGAGCACAGCTCTGCTGCCGCAGCTTTGCGCTGCAGGTGCTATTTGGCAGCTTCTTGTGGCATGGCCCTTGACGTAGCGGCAGCCACTGAAGGGAAACACATGCTCCCTGCTGGCAAATGAGGTGCAGAGCCCAGCCTCTTATGTGTGTCAGGAGCACCTGGGCCAAGCAGGGCCAGACAATAGGCTTAGTCTAGCAGATTCCACAAAAGCCTGCCCATTAAAAACATCCACAACCCTGCAACGCATACTCCCACTCTTCATAAAATGAAGGAAAGATGAAATGTAAGCTGAGACTGCCCATTCTCTTCACACAAGAAAACTTTTGTGTGCCTTAATACGCCTCTGTCTCTGGCCATGGAAGTTCGAAGTGCATAAAAAACATGGGAGAGGGAAAACTACTTGGCAAAGATGCAACATGCACCCAGTCTGGAAATGCAACACAAGCAAAAACGGCGACTATCAGGGCTTATTTCCACTGCACTCTTTCCTACTCACAGTTACTATTCAGCCATCTCTCTCTGGTTGTTTGTGAGGAGCTTGCAGCACACATAAAACACCGTCTTTAACCACCATGCCAGTGGAGTGATGACTTTGCAGTAAACGCAGAATGATGCAGTAGCACTCGAAGATGTTTAACATTTGATCAGAAAATAGACTGGTTCGAGTCAGAAACGAGCCTCACATTTTTATCTTTAAATCAGCTGCGATCCAGTGAAATAGTAGACCTCTGACTACGGTCACTGTCTTGGTCTTTTGAAAATGGAAATTACAAACAAGCACTTTGCGTTTGCCTGAAAATCCTTGTATCTGTGCCCTGTAGCATGCTTATAGGGCACTGCTCTGTTAATCAGTGTGGGCCTGCCCAAAGAAAAAATGTTAAAAGTCTACCTAATGATTCATAAAACCAACGTTGTGCTAGAAGAGAAAGAGAGAAGGAGTTTCTCTAGAAGAGAAACTCCTTTTCCAACCAGATAAGTCACCCTCTGCAGGCCATTCCATTGTCTACAGGGTCAGGGCACATTCTTCTTGACTTCACATTTCAGACAAGAGGCCCTTCCTCGTATTAACATTTCATCAGGAAATAGACCTTTTCTTAATCTAATTATGATGTTTTGAGCTCACAAGTTCCTTTCAATATCATATCCAGGTCACACAACTTCCTTTTTGGTATATTTTTTATGTTTTGCCACAGATGCAGGGAACCAGTTTGCAGCTCAAGAGGCAGTGAGGAAACCCTCCATGCTACGGCGGCCCCCTGCTCGCACAGGAGAGACTATCTCAAGTACCAAATGTTCCAACTACCAACACCAAAAATCCAGAGGTATACTCTGATGGCCGATTATGCTAAACAAAGTCACTCTCTGTTTTCTAGATTGTCTCAACTGCAGTCAAATCACAGCTCTGAGTGAGAAGATGAACTCGCTGGAGGCAAAGGTGAGGACTGTATCCGAGTCACGGACTAATACGGTGGTCCTTCTTTAGTCAAAGATATTGTTATAACACCTTAACTTGTTTTATGTCTTCCTGTATTAGGTGCAATTACTCACAGCGCCAACCAGCGTATCACATCGCCACCTTCAGAGCAAAGGAGGAACATCTGTGGAGGCCTCACTGCTGATGGGGGCTGCGCCCGCACAGGGAGCTCCGGGCGAGCAGGGACCTGCAGGTATCCATATCCTGCTGAAGTACCTTCAGAAATTTGAAGTTTCAATGGCAAATTTATGAATGATAAATAAATGGAGTCCATCCAGGGTTTTCATTGGATTAACAAGTCAAAAATAGCCCCCCAGAGTTTTTCCTGCCCACTACCTGCTCACCTCTGCTCGTATCCTGTTTCCTGCCCTGCATACACATTCATTTCCTTTCACAATAGTGAGAGCCTAGTTTCCGGCACAGCTCACTCTCAGCTCTCTGAGACCATGTGGAAGCATGAAATGCAGGTATCAAACAGGTAAAGTCATCTGTTGTCAAAGGCGACAGCTGACTAATATTTTCACTTTCAGAGAATTTTACCTTGATCATTCAGGCTTTGACACAAATACTGGATCCTTCATAAGCCTAAAAACGTGCTGCTTTTTACCAGCTGAAACAAATATTTGTCATCATGGCAATGAAGACAGATGCTAACAATGATATAACTCAAAAATGGCCATTTTGGCTCTCTTACTTGGACACGGTTGCCGCTGATCACAGAACAGATTTCGCTCAACCTTCTCTCCAGGTGGCTTGAGTTCTCTCTCTTTTTTCTTTATTTTAGATTTAATAAACTTTAAAAACTGACACTTCTTTGTTTTTGTTTCAGGTCCTCGGGGTGAGAAAGGGAGAGATGGGATTCCTGGCAGGGATGGTAAGTTGTAATTGTTGCCTTTCACATGACGTCAAGCCATTTAAGACGTGGTTTCATCATTACTCGGGATTGTTTCTCACCCCTAGGTAGGACAGGGTCTCGAGGGCTGCCAGGTCCACTTGGGCCCCGCGGGGATGCTGGTGCAAGGGGTCCATCTGGAGCCCCTGGATCGAAGGGATCCCAAGGACCTGCAGGTACTAGTAGATGAAGACACATTTTATCCCGTGAGCTCAGATAAACACACGAACATTGCCCTGAAAAACTGTTGATACAGGTTGTCAATGACCATTTAAAGTTGTGTGAGTGTCAACAAGAAAGATGGAGGGCACTGCTGAGCATTTGTTGGCCTGTCTGACCATTTTCACAGATAGTATTTAATAGAAAAACACATAAGAAAGGAATACTGTTGACCAAAGAGCAGAGGTAAACAACAGTTGAGAAATCAGAGAGATCTGACTTGTTATGTCCGGCAAATCCACAGTGTTTATCTTTCTCTCAAGCCTCTGGGTCAGAGTGCCGGAGCATTCCAGCGGCCTTTGAGGTCTGCTGGTTACTCACTGGAATTCAGGCATTTTGCGGGTTTGAATTTGAAGTCGGATGTTTCTAAAAGAGCCATTTGTGGGCATCGGAGTTTTGTTTTTGTTGAGTGTATCTGTATGAATATTTATGTAAACCTCACAACACGTTGTATGTTTGATTACCAGCCCGAAGAGAACCAAGTCATAAATCTGCTTTTTGCACTCTGAGCTTTTTATGTAAAAATAATAAATGTTCTGTTTGAAAAAAGGGAACCCACCAATATCTACAATTTAAATCATGAGTAAGGTAAATAGTGGTATGAGTTTGTTACAACATCTGACTTTGCTACATGCTGTTCCTCTTCTGCTCGGATCACATAGGGAGTGCCTCTCTTTTTAACATATAAATCCTGCCTGCTGCTGAGTAAAGATGAGATTTAGAACAAAACCTGAACTACAAACCCACTTTCTGATGAACGCCATGTGACTTCAATCTGAAAGAAGCATGAGCTATATGTATACAAATCCCAGGTCCTTATGATTTCCATATGCCTGCGGTGTTATGGTTTTTTCTATCTCCATTACTTCATAAGTATCCAAAAGCAGTGCAGTGTTATTCTTATTGTGCAGACTTTTTCAGTTTAAATAGAAAGATAAACACGGCAATGGAATGTGTCCAGTGTCATGCAGAATGTACTCAAATATGGGGGAAAAGTGAACATTGTGTTGCAAATGTGCACTTGTTTTTTTGTCACAGTATCCCTCAGCAGCACATTAGGGAAACCAAGTGTTTCCCTAATGTGTTATATAAACCGTGATGGACCACTTGGACTGATAATATGAACCGTTGTGCTGCAGATGCCAATTTACAAGCTTCATAAAGCAACTGAAACACTGTGGGTTGTGCTGCAATTCTTTACAAGGGCTCATGGAAAACAGACTACACGGGTGTCAAATCAAAGCTGTAATAACATCATATTGCAGATTAATGATTAGTGAGCTGTTACTGACAGTTCCATCAGTGCCCAAACAGAACGGTGGTCAGCGTTGGTTTGACAGAGGTTGAGAGGTGACGTTCAGCAAGCAGTGTTAATTCACTGTGATACTTTTTCCATTTTAAAATAAATTGCCAGAGTAAAAGGAGCAACGCTTTCAACCAATGATCCATATGGATCTGTTACATGCTGTTATTTATTAATGCAAGTGTATTAATAACTGGTGACATATATGCAGAGTGTTTGATTTACAATGAACCTTGCACCAGAGGCACATTTGCAGAGTTTACCTCTGTTTATTTGGGTTTCTTTATGACGTTGAGCAGGTTTCCAAAACTGGATCCTCCTGTTAATTACAGAGTAAGAAAGTCCTTCAGAGCGCATAGTCCCCCAGCCTCTTACTTATTTTTTCATATTCACTTGAATGCATGCACAGATACACTATAGTTCATGCAGACGCTGTCCTGGTGTACCAATATTTTATCTAATCTTTTCCTTGTCTGGTCTTTGTCACAGGTTATCGCCTGCCTTCATTTATCAGTCTTTCATGTGATCTGCCTCTCTGCAAGACAGTTTGAGATAACATTTTGCAGTGACACACACACCACGTCTGTCACCACAGTGATTTGTCATCTTTGCCCCTTTCTATCAGGCCCGCGTGGACCACCGGGACTCCCAGGAGAGAAAGGTCTACCAGGCCCGCCCGGGCCCCCAGGGCCTCCAGGCCCCCCATCTCCAGCCAGTGCCCACATCCCAGAACCAGACCACGGTAAGGCCCGGAACACTCATACAGAAGCTTTAATCTCTATCTGACATAAATGCAACAACAAACAATAGTTACACATTATCTCTGTGTAAACCGTATGGTGATTGTTTCAGATGGTCTAGATGCAGATTTGTTGGTAACTCATGACAACATTGTGCAACATATAGTTGAACCTTGTACAACTGTTCCTCACAATGATATTTTAAAAATAACCAAACCCAGAGTAATGGAACAACAGTGAAATTCTGGCCTCAGTGAGCCTATATGAAAATATAATTAGATTTCTACTTCTGCAAACTTAAATTAAACTCTTGGTGACGTTTAGTTTCAGAGGAGCTTATCACCAAACTTTCATCTGGGCTCTGTATGCGCTATACTAACAGTTTCTGTTAAAGCTTTGAGCTGCCAGCTTCAAAGTGCATTGAGTGCTTATTCCATTTTAAACTGGAATTCAATATTTTAAACTCTTTAAAGAAAAAATTCTGACTCAGAGTCAGAGGAAAATCAACATTTCCACTTTGCAAACCCCAGACGGCTGCAAATAGGATGTTATGTTTGCCCGTATCCCTGTATTTGAACTCTTCTTTGGAGTTCTTACTCAGAACATTTTTTTCCAGTGATAGTGCAAACAAAATATGTTAAACTGGTGCATTGGTATTGCTAACAGCAGCTAATTTGGTTTGGTTTATGATCATGATCATCATGAGTGTGACACCTTTCTCTACTCTAACATTGGTCTAACATGATTTTTTAGTTAACGTAACGCACTTTGAGAGATGTTTACAGATGTGGTCTGCTCTCATTTTTCTTATCCAACATACCCCAATCTTTGCTTTTTTTCCATTAACTGTGTGTACATGAACTTTAATAATCTGTTCATAATAAGAATAAATGCTCACTCATCTAACCGCTCTAATCAAAACCATAGAGTGTAAAAAAGATTTACACATATGAACGTCATAAACGTTCTGTTGCAGAGGGCTGATGCATCATATAAATGAAGATTAATGTAATTGTTTCTCTTCTTGTCAGAAATAAATAGTCTTTTCCTGTATAGAGACGCCATTAGGGACGTCTTGAGGTCACTTCCTGGGGCTGAAGATTTTTCTTTTTTGGTTGTTATTCTCATAAAGGAGAGTTGTGTAATAATGAAACCTCTTTCTCGTCAGTCTTAAGAATTCTGGGCTTTTAGCAGGCCAATGCTCACAGATATACGATGATTAGAGTGAGCTTTAAGGGTCCACTTGCACTTATCCCATGTTAAAATTCACTGAATAAACAAGGGATGCGGGTCTCACGAAATAATATTTTCCTTTTCTTTTGTGGGTTTTTGGAAATCCGACCATTACTAAGGTGCCGCAACAAAACTCTCCTCAGAGAAATAAATTCCCAAATGAGAGTACATCTCAGACTGCCACTTCCCCACTTCCTGCTTCCTGCTTCCTGCTCATTTGAGGTGATCTTCTTGTGTACCAATCTAGATAATGGGCCTTCTTCAAGATTGAAACCTCAATTTTTGTTTTACAGAAGAAACACAAAAGATTATACAGGATAATGTTCATGTTCGAAATGTTATGTGCTGGTTATTCTCTATCAGCCATGCACAGCAGAGTCAGAGAGTGTTAAGTCAAACACGGATGAAGAGACATTAAGACGGACACGGACTCCACATGCCGGGATGAGAACCTGTCCACCCCTGATGTCACTCAACAACTTCCAGATGTAGTCTGCTCAGAAAGCTGAAGGAGGGGGGTTGCGGGGGAAAGACGGGGGCCTTAACCAGCTCTTTCAAGGTCAACACATGGGCGGTTTATATGCATGAATATGGTGGTAAAACAAAATATGCAGCACGCAGATTCGTAAGCTTCGGGTTCCCGTGAGGAGCTGCGGGGACACTGGGGTTGGCATGATGATATCCGAGAGTGAGGGCCATTTCTTTCACATCAAAGAAACAGCGGGGAATATAAGCAGTGAGAGGGTGGGGGGTTTCTGTACTGGGCTTCCTTTGGAAAACACTGGCTTATTTTACTTCTACATGCGCATCAGGATGTTGGAATTCCCGTCCACAGAACAGGAGACGGTTCCTGAAACAGCCACCTGGAGCCTTAGGGATTAATGAAGATGACCAAGTCATAATAATTTAGAGTTTGTTTGAAATGAAATGCAGATCCCAGGGCATTCTGGGTAAAAACCAAGTGCTTATTTAGAGACAAAGTCACAGAGAGCCACCCTGACTTGGATGCCACCTCTGCCTTTGTCATGTGAAATGATCTGCCAGCTGGAGGATGTTAGTAGCTGTCAGACATCCACGTCATCTTCCTCCTTCACTTTGTTTCTTCAAAATCTCATGCTATGATCAGATCTGTGTTTCCTGTCAGTAAAAAATGACCCAGTAGCCACACACTTCCTTTAGCACACAGGCGTTCACCGCCCTCTTCCTCCTGTGGTTGTATTTTGGACACATGTAGTTGTCCTGCCAGTGTTCAACAAAAGATAGGAAAAACTTTTTTAATCCATGACACTACAAATGGTAAATGTAGAGTAGTCAGCCCTTATCTTGATTGCTGTGCTTTTGACACTAATTTCTAATTCGTTTTAGTGTGGCTTAACTCACTTCTGAAATTATTAATTGAATGTAGGGTTTGTTGGAAAATATTGCTCTCTAGTGGTCGTGTTTAGTCAAAGTGGAAGTGAGTCATTAACCTGACCTGAGATTTGATGCATTGATAAAAAGTCTGCTTTGTACACGTTGTTCACTAGAGCTCCTAAAAGAAAAAACGTTGCAAATTAGACATTTTTCTCTATGTTTTCCTACATTTATCTTTCATCAAAATTTCATTTTTATAAATGTGCCAACACTGGTATTCATCTATTATGTATGTCCTCTGAATGTTATTTAACATTCACTTTGGGATACCTCTAGAACAAGTCAGTCACTATGCTGTGAATAATTAAATCTTTCATGTTAAACTTTCCCCTTCCCCCAAAGAGCATTTAAATCTACAGAGTTGCTTAAAAAACCATGTAAATAATTGAATTAAAGATATATTTTGTAGTAATTCAAACCATGCTGTATGATGGTCTGGCCGACTGTTATAATCACAAGAGCTTTTGCTCAGACCTTTTCCACGGTAGCCGGGGGGGAGAGGGATTTCTTTATCCAGTTAAACTCATGTTTTGTTTCAACTCCAGATCGTGGAAAAGACCCTTTCTTCAGCAACACTTTCCATGACTCAAGAGGTCTACCTGTTCCAGGACCTCAGGGTCCTCCCGGGCCTATTGGTAGGTGTTTACTGTTTTCAGGATGTTTATGTTGTGGCTGGAAAACATCTGTCCACACACTCAAACATTTTGATATTCAAAGTGCTCTTACATACAAAGCTCTTACAAATTATTTGCATTTTATTCAACTTAACCTTTCATGTGAAGCTTTTTGTCTCATCTGAATGATTGTTTTCTTCTATCAGAAAGTTGCACGTTGTTCTTTTCTGCTTATATACACAAAGGTGACCAGAAAGGTGACCAGAAAACTTCCCAGAAATGACTTTTAAAGGAACTTTAGACTATTGCTGTTAAAGTTATGAATATATACAGGAAGTGCCATATGTGAGATGGTGCTTTGGGCTTATCTCTAAGCAGAACTAATGACTTTCCATTCACCATGCAGGGCCACCAGGTTCCAGAGGACCCACGGGACCTCCTGGCCCCCAAGGGCAGAATGTATGTTTGTAACATAGCACTCACTCACTGACCTCAGCTCTGTTAGGTTTGTAACTACAAGAACCCATCATTCATATTTCAAATTTCCTTTCTTCTGCTTGGCAGGGCAAACCTGGAGGTCCCGGAGCACAGGGCCCGGTGGGGCCAAAGGGAGAACGCGGGGAGAGAGTGAGTACACCCACTTTAGATTTCTGTAGTTTATCCTGTTAAGATGAGTCTTGCTGCAGGATTTTAAAAAAACACCTGGCCCAATTCAGCAAAACCTTTTATAGATTTTATACACCATAAAAGGAAAACATTGATCAAGATTCATGTTTTTTTTAAGCCAGTTGGGGATTTTAGATGAATTACTTAATACTTAATAAACTAAAAACAAACTGCTCAATTTCTTCAAGTTTTCTTCAGACTGTATAAAATTGAAGAGAAAAAATGTCATAAGTAAGAGAACGTCTGCATCATTGGGTGTGTCATCTTCAGTATCCTATATTGTGTAATGTTTAATAAAGTTTTCCTCGTGTAACAACTCTGTCAATCATGCGTTTGGTTTTTCAGGGTCCTCTGGGTTACCCAGGAGAGAGGGGCTTCAGAGGGGAGCCGGTAAGTCACCTATATAAACATCAACATGTCAGATCTGGTTATGTTACTATAAACGCTTGTTAACGCTCCCCCAACTTAATTTCTAATTTACTGGGATTTGTGTCTCTCTTCAGGGAGCACCAGGTCCCAAAGGAGATCCGGGAGAGAAGGGCTTGCCGGTAAGAGAGCAGGTGTAGGTGGCTGATATTCTGAGGCAAGGCCCAAGAAGGAAGGTCCTGCTTTAGAACACAGTTTAAGAGTTTAAGAGATTCTTCTATTGAGCATTAACTCATTCCTGTGTCTAACTCCTAATTTTCTTTCATCCCCTTCTCATTTCACAAGATCAATCTAAATGTAAGATATTTTCATTATAGTCATCACATCTTGAAATTGCTATGAATCTGTCCTAAATTCAGTGTAACTGTGTCCGGGATTTCAGGTCATAGCTCTTGTCTTTTTTCAAGCCATTGTGCTTGTGGCTGTAATTGGCCACCAGCTTTTGTGTTGAGTCACACCTCTTTTTCTCTCAAACCCACACCCATTTTCCCTTTGATAAACCATGTGATATCTGTTTTTTGTTGCCGTGTATGTATGATTAGAGTTTGACCTGTCTGATTTTGTGTGTTGGTGTGTTTTTGTGTTGGTCCTTGGGGTGTGCTCCAGACTGATGTTACGACACTGTCTTCTTGACCCTAAAGCTGTCTGACTCCCTCTGCAAGCTACTGTTCCCATGGCTACCCTTCACGGTCACCTTTTCAGCATGACTTTGGCATATACATGGAGTTATACCAAACAATATGAGAACAAAAGGTCTGACGCTGATACACTGTCACACCTCTAATCAGTTTTTCTGATTTGACCAACTGGGTTATGTTTCAATGAACCACAAAGAAAACATGTGGAATGTGTATGCCAAAGCACTCCATTATGTGTCAGTGGTTGGTTCTGCTGGGTTTAGAGTTGTTGTGCTCTGATGTGAGTGGAGTGGATACAGCTATCCTCTTTTCTTACACAATCCAGCCTTGCATGACATGCACGACTCAGCATAACGCTTGAAGTGCCTTTTTTTCTTCCAAACATGAAGCATGTCTTTGGGTTGACACATTCATCAGGACATTTGTTAGACTTAATCACTCAACTGACTATCCAACGTGTCATTCACGCTTCCCTGCATGCCTTCTTACAAGATCACGATACCCTCATCAGTCAGCTTTACATCTCTTGTTCAACTACCTTTTTGTTTGGTTTGTTTTGTCTCGTGAGGACGCTGCCTTGTTCTTTAACCAAAGACAGATCAGGTGCCGGTCTATGCCGGCTCCACTGTTAGACGACAAAGTAGGACTTTAGAGTCTGCAGTGTTAAGGATGAACACTGTGGAGCTGGAATACGTGCCTTGCTCAACTGATACCCTAAACAGAGACTCCAGATGGCATGATGACGTCTGTATTTTGGGAGTACGATTCTGCTGTGCTGCCAGCATGACGCTGGTCTGTAATGTGCATGCTGATGTTGCCCAGCCCGGCATGGCAGAGAATGGCATCATACAGCGGCATGCTCCGAGATGGAGGGAGACGTAGAGATATATAGGAGAATGGAGACTGTGCTGGGCAGATATGTGTACTGTTTTAACCCTCTAACTGTATTGAGAAAAAACTGACTTGCATCTTGGCGAGCAGTCTCTCAGCTTGTGCTCTTTACCTTGACGGCTGTATCTATCTTCACAGGGGGACGGAATACATCAGATCAGAGAGGCGCTGAAGATCTTAGCCGAGAGGGTTTTAATCCTTGAGACTATGATCGGTATTCATGGTGAGTAGGAGGCCTGAGGAAGGGTCAGCTTTAGGCAGGGGTCAAAGCGGTGGGGGGCCTCCCACAGCTCCTCATGCTGAGACAGACAGGGGGGGGAGAGACAGTCGCGAGCAGCCCCAGGACTCGGGCTGATGTTTCCACACCCTCACACCGTGCCCCTGTCACTGCTCTCTGATAGGACATTAGCTTGCAGATGTTCCACGACTTGCAGGCAGACCTTGAGCTTCTGGCTCGCAGGGTGACTCTGCTGGAGGCTATCATCTGGCCAGGTAAAGCTGAGACACCCACAATCCTGCAGGCCCTCTCTTATGCCAGCGGCAAACACTAGCGTCCATCCAGTGTCGAAGCACAATGATAGCCACTTGTTACTGAGCCATGAAATGTTGATCGAGTCTCTGAATTACATTTTTAAAAAATGCATTCTTTACCGTAATTGTTTTCCTTTGAAGAATCTTTTTATGTCAGCACAGATATGAAAAGCAGCTTTCTATGTCAGCCATGTTGTCTGGAAGATGGGAGTTCTGAATGCTTTGAATTTATTTGTGTCTCTGATTATTTAATTTTTTTCTGTACCTATTGATTTCAGGTTAGACCTCTAAGCACCGTAGAGAACAGTATAACATTTGAATCACTTGACTGCTTCCTGTCAATGTTAATTTGACTGCACCCCTTTAGGCAGGAAGCACTGAGCTCTGTGAAATCAAAGAATACACCAGTCTTTTATATTTTGTTTAGTCATAATTCAGTTAAAGCCTGTAATTATAGTCAGTAGCAATACTTGGTGACAGAAAAGTAGCTTAGTATGAAAATTTGACCAAAAATGTTCTGCTATTTGTATTCTTATGGTATTAAATCTGTGGGATTTGTGACTGTTAGAAAAAAAGAGCAAAACTTTTAGGGGTAATGTTGGTGCATGGAAATTATGGTCGAAATGCCTCTGTTTCATGATTAAACCTTAAGAAACAAACAGAAAATGTCCAGGTCAGCTCATCTTTTTTTTTTATTTTAACTTTCAATACATCTGTTTTGTCTGTTTTTTTTTTGGCTTTGGTGGAAGATTAATCTATATCGCAAAAAATATTAGAGCTCAGAACAAAGGTTTATAATATGTTACATTTCCACAAAATGATGCATATCTTACAATTCTTATCATTTTTCCCATTTAATTGGCATTTGAATGCACTCGCCATAAAAGGCAAACACAAAGACGTTTCTTTTTTCAAATTTTACTAACTAGCGAATTGAAAAATGTGTACACATTAAGTTGTTTAACAAGCTCTTTCTTAATAAACCTATGTGGTTGTACAGACAGTTTTACGGCCACTGATTGTTTCGTCTAAATGAACCTGTTTATGTGGATTCTGACTAAAAATGTGAAACATGCCTTTTTAAAAGAGAGAGGATGGAAAGATTAAAAAATCCAATATGGCATAGGAAGAGAACAAATTGTTTATATAAAAATGAAAGATGTATCCTATAAAAAAAATTTGGCCTAAAATGACCTGCTGTACAAGTTAGATTAGAATTCTTATTGGGTTGATAAGACGTTGAAAGCTGTCTTACCATTTAGGTTTAATTATGTATATAGATATCAGTGATTAGGCTCCAGTCCCACCACGACCCCATTTGGGAATAAGCGGTTCAGAAAATGGATGTATATCAGTGATTGTCTTGAATAGCAGCTTTGCATAAAAAGACTAAATATGATCCAAACGTTTTCCTACAGACAACTGAAATGTCCAAGAATGTAGGAGAAATCAAAATTCAGATTTTTTCAATCATAGAGATTTGTCTTCTACCAAAATGAAAATAAATATATCTGATAGTTAACAGATCATTTTCATACAATATGAAAATAAGACACCTCTTCTGGTGCCTCTAGCTTTAGTGTAGACTTAGATCTGGAATATATATAGCACTTGTCTGCACATACTGATGGACAGGGAGGCCCCGTTCCAACTGCTGTCTTTCTTCAACAGAGCCTGATCTAGGGTCTGGGGACGGACCGTTTGGCACAGCCTCCCCTAGTTTCTACAGAGATAAGCGAGCAGGTGTACTTCCACATCGACTTGCTTCCCCTCTGTCCTCCAACACCAAGACTCGAGGGAAGTAGCACCCCCGCTCACCCTGAGGATCACGGGCTGGGTTGACTTCCCCTCCTATAGGTCTCATCGGCACTCAAGTTCAGACCATATCTGGGCTCTGATTCCAGATTTAAGAAGGGGGACACCTCAGGGAAACTCCACTAATACTCCACAATGCTCTGCTTTAATGGCAACCTGACAGCTACTTTGACCCCCACCATCACCATTGCCAAGCAATTAAAATGCTTATAACAGCTGCTTATAGAATTTTTGTTTTTAGCTCCAGAGCAAAAAACAAATAAACAAAAACCATATTAAGAAAAAAGGAAAATGTGAATCTTCCATGGTGCTCCTTTAATGTTTTAAGGACACAAGGCTGATTTTAACAAAGCAATTGAGGGAGAAATCCAATGTTAGAAGACTGTATTAGTTTTTGTTGCCTTCACATAGAACTGCAATAAAAAAAAGGGGTCCATTACTTATTGAGCATGTACTGTTTGGTGGGTATAATTAATTACAGAGAAACCTCCTCTAGTATTCATTTTGATATACTTTTATCATATTGTTTAACTCAGTGTTATGTAGTGCACTAAAAAGAAGTAATCTCTACGTGAGCTATGTGTTGCTAACAGTGATTTGTAGTTTTCTGGTGTGAGTGTTTTTTTTCCCCCTTAAAGTGTGTACTGGTAAGCAACTTAACAGCATTTTGGAAATTTAGCCTTCACAAAATGCACAAACATTTACATTTCTGAACAAGAGATGTTGAAATAAGAATAGCTTTGTGCAAACTTTGTTTTCAGCGTCAGGATTTTATACATTCTCACCTTCACACATACATACAGAGGAAACTGTAAATGGACTTGAAGCTATTTTTTACCACTGATGTGTTGTTAAACTGCTCTGATGAAAATACTTTATTTCATCTTATATCGAAGTTATTGTGAAACTATTTAAATGACCATTTTGATGTAAGCTGTTGTGTAACCATTTCATATTTTCCTTGCCAATGTGTTACTGTGTTAAGATAATCCTGTCAAGATGATCAGTGTAATAAAAAAGGATGGTGATTGTTTTTTTATCATTATTTCAACATTGTCACCTGTTTTTATTTGTGGTACAGAAGTATTCATTAAATCTTTTTCTAACTAAATTAATTCCACATGCTCTTTCTGATGTCCACATACAGAAACCGTCTCAAATAGTTAGCATATACACTTAAAAAGAAAGCAGCCCAGTGTGTCATATCTCTTTTTTTCCCAGAAGACATGTGATCATTAAAACAGACCTAAATGTAGCCCCACAGGGAAAACAATGAAGCTCAGCAAAACCCAAGCATAATGTGTGTCCAGTTCCCAGTAACAGGATCAGTGCAGGTATGTGAGCCTATCTTGCTACTTCATGGTGGCGATGAACTCTTTCCCTTTGATACCACCACTGCTTGCTCTCCAACGCCATCTTCAATGAGAAGGGAGATGGCGCCATCCAGCTGCCTTGATGCTGCTAGTGCAACCACAGCCTTCTCTGTGGGAAAGCCCATCTTTTCTAGCTGCTGAAGTCTGAGGGGAAACATAAGGAAGAATGATTGTTTGCACTGGCATTTTGATGCAAAACGTTTAGTCAGCACATTGTATAGACATTTACTCATGCAGAAATGACATGAACTACAAACCGCAGAGAGGAAACAGACGATTTGGGCACTTCGACTTTTGCATTGGGGTCCTCCTCTGGAGCATCCTGTAATGAGGCCAGTATCCCTGCTCTCAGCATCTGCTCCTCCAGCACCTCCGTCTCAGACACTGCAGCAGACTGGCCCATTATCCAAGCAGGCAACGGCTCCATCCATGGGTGCTGGTTGAAAACTGGGGGATTCCTCCTCTGAGGAGTTGTTTCCTGATCAATGGGAAGTGATCTGGGACAATAAAGAAAAAAAATAATGAAATCTGCCACACAAACCATGGAGTAACCACGAATACTTCGTGAAAATGTCAGCTTGAAGAGAAGTCACAACACCTCTGTGAGGTTGCATAGGTTGGCAATCTGAACCTGTCTGAGGTTGATACAAACATCCATATAGGAATGAGATCCAAAAGCCTGGACTCTTCTAGTTCCTGTAACATCTCGATAAAAGGCTGACGATCTGCAAGTTACATTAAGTATTCAAATGAAAGACTTTGCTGTGGAAAATTGGAGTTTGACCAAAGGGAAACCAATCACACATCTTAAATTCATGGAGAGATTACAAAGTTACCCCAGGCATTAGTCAAGGCACCTTTGGCCATATCCACAAAATAGCATTCATACTTTACAGAGAGACACAAAACAACCAAAGATGGAAAATATTTTCACAGAAACTAAATGCAAAAACTCGCAAGCCAATCAGTCAAAATAAGATAAAATGATAAAACATTCAGCTGTAGAACAGCAGCATTAAACATTCTTTAACTGTAAAAACTGAAGAGGATACAGTTGTGTCCTATGCATATTGCACAGAAGTGAAGCAGGCCAGGTGTCCCTGGCAGCAGCATCAGGCCAAGCAGCAGAAGAAGCCACGGGAGGAACCAGACAGGCAAACACCTCAGCAGCCTCCGTTGAGTCATCTGTCGGCACTGTGCGGTAAACAGAGCCAGCGGAATAGCAGAGAAGCCACAGATGCGACTCGCACCGCCTCCACCCATGAAGAGAACCAGGGTGTAAACAAAAGGCAGGATGAGCATTGTGAGGCCAGAGAGGACCAACAGGGCGACAGTCCCCCAGCGGCGCTCCTGACATGTTCCAAACAGCAGCAGGACAGCCACACTGACCAGCAGAGAGGGCAGGTCATCATGACTCAGAGCATACAGAAACACATCTGAAGAGGAGAGAGGCAGTTATTTCACCCGAACTGACCAACTCTGGAATTACACTGCTGCCAAACGATAATGAAATGATAAAGGTGAGTTACCTACGAATCTTGGAAAGTTTCCCCCTGGTCCTAAGCTTAGACTAGCCTGGAAACCCATAGCATACATCAGCAGCATCAGTGTTATTAGTAAAGATGTCCCCAGGCAGAATCCAGGGCGATCTGATCCACACCAAAACCTCACTAACGAGCTACGACTCAGCATTATCATTATCTCAAGGCTCTCCAATCGCTTGCTCTAAAGTAAGTCTGGCATTATGAGCTAAATTAATGAGAATACTGAAAATAACAAGAAATAACTTAATTGACTGCAATTTATATTAGTTTTTAACCCTCTCGGCTAATAACATGGAAGAGAACGACGTGAGAGCGGGTAAATGTATGTAATACGTTAAAATATCACCATGCTAAATGCATATAGTAAATTCTTTACGTAGAAATACTGACTGAGAATGTTGAAAAATCTAACGAACTTCCGTAAGCAGGTGCTGCTTCTTCGTCTCTGTATGTGCGACAAGACGGCCTCATGTTGCTGTTTTACCGCCACCTACTGGACGTACTGAAACATGTTCTTCAAAATGCCTCAGTCTCTTACCTCTAAGTTCATGTGTGCTTCAAATAACAGTTCATAAAATTTCTTGATGAACGCTAATTGACTGTTTATAGTTTAGTAATGTTTATGTGAGATGTAACTTAAAGAAAACATTGATAAGTTTAATTTAGACTAATATTTTCTTTATTTTATCACGAGAGAATCAACACAAAGTAACACGGTTCAGTGTTGGATTGGTTCATTAGTCTAAATTTAAAAAGTAACTAAATAATTGAAAGTTGGAAAATGGCCACATTTAAAAGTATCCTTCTACAAACTGTTCGAATAAATTGTTATCATAACAATAGGCAACTATTTGTATTCAAATTATCACAATAATTTTGTCTGATAAATGCTTTAAGAGGGGAAAGTGTGTATATTCCTTTGATGTAAAGCGGCTGAAGGACCTTTGCATTGTTCAAACTCGTTGCAATCTCGCGAGATTACACGATTTCTCTGTGAGGAGAAGAACGGCTCTTAACAAGCCCACTCTGTCCAGTCGTTTTGTACGGGCTTAGTAAAATGGCGTCAGCTCCCGGTGAGTGTGGGATTTCTATTGTTTCTTCACATATCCACGGAATCTTGTAAAGAAACTATGCCATTTCGAATACTACTTAATCATAATGCAGCAATCTTCCGTAATGCAGTTATCCATCTTTTCTGTTTTTGAATGTTGTTTTACCATGAACGTAGGTAGCATTTGGTTGTTGGCCTAGTCTTTTTAGCTCAATGAGTCAATGCGGTTTTCTGCCGGATAGGCTTGTCCTTTGTACATTGTCGAACATGCAATAGACTTGCAGATTCAGTAACGTATGTGATGAATAATTTTGCCCATAATTACTATATATTTTTTGTTTGTATTAAATAAGCCGAGTGGCTAGTCAGTGTTGCCTTTCCCTCGAATGGCGACCTCAAAAAGGGGCCTATGTAACGTGCTAATCGCGCGCGAAGGCAGTTTTGTTCCAAAGTTAAGCCTGCATAACGTCTCTTAACTATTTCTTTTGACAGATTACAGCTCCTATAGCCAGGCGGGTGCCCAGCAGGGGTAAGACTCTTTAATTACTTTCTTAATCGGACGATATTTTTAACATTTTTCTTTAATCTGTCGGTTAGTTACTGCATGTACTATACAGATTGCATAGTTGGGAGCTTGTGTAAAAAGCTGAAAAAAAATCTAAATTTAAAATGACTAGCAATCTTGATTAGCAGAGAATATGTGTAATTAGAGTTTTCAACCATATATGGTCCGTTATGTCCACAGGTATGCCTCATATGCTGCCCAGCCATCACAGAGTTATGGACAGTCTGCACAGGTGTGTTTTGAATAATTTTTTGTGGTGGGCATGTCTCTTTTCCTGTGGATCATTATGTTCAGAATGGGGGGGGTGTAAGAATTAAGGCACCATACCTTGTGTGGATGTTCTAGTTATTTTTACTGTTTATAATAAAAACCTATTTTAAAGGGTGTTCTGTTTTTCCTTTTTCTTCAGCAAAGCTATGGCCAGCAGAACTATGGATCATATGCCCAACCAGCTGCTGCTGCTGCTGACAGCAGTTACACCCAGACAACCCCTGCAGCTGGTGGCTACCCTCAGCAGCAGCAACAGTATGGGACCTCATATGGCCAACAAGCATCAGGTCAGTGGTCTGAAACGACTGCATTATTTCCATTTTAATGAGTGTACTTCTGTATCACAACACCACCAAGTAAAAACCGTGCGAGTGTAAAACATTTGTTTGTTTTTTATAGCTGGTTATCCTGCTGCGCAGTCTACCACTCATAGTTACTCGCAGTCAGCCCAGAGTTATGGAGCCAGTGGTTATGATAGTGCTCCTGCAGCTGCTGCTGCTACCCCAGCTGCCTCCCAGTCTTACGGCTCTCAGCCGGGGTACACTGCCCAGTCTGCCTACCCTGGATATGGTCAACAGGCTGCTCCCACTGCTCCTCAGAGGTATGTGACCATTAAAGCGATCACGTTTTTAAGTAGCGTTATCAGGGTTTCACACAGTTCCCTGACTTTGCTCCGTGTCATTCAGTTACAGTGCTAACAGCCAACCCGCCAGTTACAACCAAAGCAGCTACTCCCAGCCTGCATCGTATGGACAGCAACAGCCTGGTTACCAGGGACAGCAGGCAGGCTATAGCCAGCAGCAGGGCTACCAGCAGCAGACACCAACCCAGCAGCAAGCTCCTCCTGCTTACCCCCCGCAGGCAGCTGGTTCCTATGGGCAGCCCCCAGCCAGTCAGTACAGCCAGCAAGGTGGACCACCTAGCTACAGCCAGTCCAGCCATTACAGTTAGTTTTACTTTGCGTTCTTTAAACTGCTGTCTTTTGCATCATTACAGACATACGTAGACTTGTGCATTTGTGTTGCTCTTGTGTAGATAACTACAGACAGGATGGCCAAGGAGGAGGTTCTGGTTACCCTGGTTCTGAGACCGGAAGGTACCCTGGAGCAGACAGCAGGGGCCCTGGCAGGGATGGCTTTGACCGTGGTGGAATGATGCATCGTGGTCGTGGAGGCATGGGGCGTGGAATGGGGTAAGTGTATTTCCTTAGCATGCGTTGTCTTTTATTTTGACTCTACAGGGGCTTTTGCCATTTGGAGCAGGGCTGAGAAAAGTTTTTTTCAGATGTGGCTGAATAACTAGTTTATTAGCAGTACTAGCACATTTATTGTCCTTGGGTATAGAAAAAGTTCTTTCATACATGGTTAGTGCTGCTAAATTACAGAAATTTCCTTTTGATTATATAAGAGGGATGAATAAAGAATCAGCCCTGCAATACAAATTTCTCTCAGTCCTGCTTCTCTTTGGTTCAAGGTAAGAGTTTCCATTCTTTTCCCACAAATTCAGTTTTGCTAGGAAACCTGTGCATCTAGGTTGAGTAGCTTATATTCTACCGCATTTTCTTTAATGGGTCATTTTCACATTTTTGGATGTATGGGAAGGTGAAGGGTTTTTTTATGTGGAAGGGGGATATGAGACTCGTTGCAAGCGTGTGCACATAGGTCAAAATATTAATGATCAATTGACTTTCTTTAAAAACGGTTCATGCACTTATGGGTGATGTTCTTATTTCTGAACACTATCAGTTGGAGGGTTAAGTCTGCCACTGTTTCACTGGCATTATGATACAGATCCTAAAAGTATAGTCAGAACAGTTTTAAGTCACAATCTACTCATGTCAATCTGGGGCAGTACACGGCTTCAAAGTTTGTTTTTTCTAATTTTTCAACAAAAATTCAGGGTGTTTTTTGCAGAGTTGACACTGACTAAATATTTAACCCCATCAGACTGGTTTGAGGAAATGATACTTAAGTCTGAAAGTGTGATCATGAAAATAGCTATCAAACCTGGCAGCGTTTTAAACGCTGCTTTCAAGAGCCAAAAACATTTGAGAAATACTCCAACTTAAACTTGAATACCTTATTGTATTATTTAGTTTGTCTCAAAGAAATACATTTTTATATTATTTTGAACACCAAAAGGAGGGTTTTGAATCTTAATGATTTTTTTGTGGTGTGTAGTGTTTCAGGTCAAAAATCCTCAGTCCAGTCTTAACTTTTTCACTAGTACACTTCAAAGCTTCTGGCTTCATAATTTTGCGATGTCGTACTTTCTAATCAAAGGTGGATGTGAGACATGACCTAGTGAGGTTGACATGGTTAAAAAAACTGGATGCGTTTACAGTGTACATCAAACATCTTTGAACAATCTTGTCAAGATGGTCAATGGTTTTACTATTAGATTTTCAGTCCATGTATTTTGGTGTCGAGGGCTTTGCTCAAACCTCTGAGTGGGAATTGAATGACTTACTGATATGCATATCTCTCATGAAAATGAGATTAACTCCACTGACTTGGTCCTGGATTCACAAACTACCTAAACCAAAAGCAGATTTACCCATGCTGCTGATGAGCACTGATTATTTTTATTAAATTTTTTAACCTTATTGGTATGCACTATTAACCAGCCCTAGTTAAAAGTCACATTTAGCTCTCTTCAAGAAAGTTGGGAAAATCCAAATGGTGATCAGAGGTTTTACACATTTTTATTGGTTTGCACATTACATGAGTGTCATAGCCAAGGACGGAGAGGATGGGAAATTTGGATTGTATCGGTTAATTTGGTTGTCCTTTCATGAGGATATTAATTAGGTTTTCATTTTGATGATTTCAACAAAATTTGAAAGCTCGTTTTTTAGTTGGTGCATCGTATTGGTATTTTGTTTCAATCATCTTTTTTTTTTTTTCTTACAAACCTTTGTCTTTAACATCAGGTTATTGTTCAATTAATAATAATAATAATAATTATGAAAATGACTCCCTATAAGAAGTGCCAGCAATAAGAATTAATTTAAAAGATTCAAATACACTTAAGTAAGATTAAGAAAAACATTCATCCCTGAGTACAGTACCCCATAATCCACCTACAAATGTAACTATTGGTTCTCTGGTGAAATGATCCCTTTATCACAGTTTTAGCTTCGCACAGGTATTTGTGGGTGGTGTGGGAGGGGGTCTTGTGGGTCACTGTCAATTTTGAAATGTTTAAATTGCTTTGTGGTTTGGAATACAAATGTGTGATCAATTTCTTTTGAGCACTTTTTAACATGCTTTGTCACATTTATACCGTACAGGTAACAGTGAGAGCCATTTAAAAGCATCTTTTCTCTAAAAAGTATCTGTACTCAGTACAGAGACGCCAGCTTAAGCAGCAGGAAGGAGCTTAAACAAAGATTCGAAGTCTGCCTTTTTTCAAGAACTGAGGATGGTGGTTTATTATTTTATAAGCATGGGTATTTCAAGTGACCAAGTCTTTGTTTTTAATTTGACGTAACCCTGGAAAAAGCTGTAACCCTTTTCTTTGGTGTTATCTACAATAATGTGTAATTGTGTGTAATATTTGTTTTTACTTGGTGAATATAAGCCCATACCTTTGTAAAATTTCAGATGCATTGTCATTTTATTCTTTCAGCTGTAAAATGAATATATATATATATTTTTTTTTTTCAAGGTAATTGTTTGTTTTTTTGGGTACGCTGTATGCCAGCAATGCATCTGAAATCTTTCTACGTGTGTACAAATGTTACAGATTTATCACATTTAAAAGGCAATGGAAAACATGTTAGTCAGTAATACTTAAACAATTGTATCTTCAAACTGTCACTAAAGTTGTACATGGCTAGCTAAGGAATGGCACATTGATGATACGTTTCCCCTCAGTTAGCTTGTGTATTTCTAATTCTGGGAATTGAAGCTGCTGTCCGGTTAGCTAGCATGTTTTGATTACTCCCTCAATCAAGCCACTTTGCTCGAGCCATGGAAGTGGCTGTAAAAGGGAAACGCCTTCATATCTCCATTTATTCCCCCATAGCAGCGCCGGAGACAGAGGTGGCTTCAGTAAGCCTGGTGGTAAGTTAACGAGTATTACACTGGTTAGTCCTTGCAACGCCATAAACTTTTTGGGCGAATTTCCTTCGAGTATTGATGTGTCACATTTGTGGTATGCAAAATTGATTCGCACAAAAGCTTCTGAAAAATAGTAGAATATTTTGGAAATTGTATTTATTTTTTTATGCCTAAGACCATTTTCTGTGGGGTACTTCATACAGTTCAGTCACTGCTTATGGTTGGACAAGCTTTTGTCAGGGTAAAAACACATTTACGTGTTTTGTTGCTGCTCGAACCAATGAGCTGAACCAATTTTTTTTGTTGAGGATTTCTTACTGGTCTTAAAGGCTTTTCAAATGAAACAAATATTTGCCAAAGGGTCAAAGGTGTTCTATTTTCAATTCAACATATCATTTGTGGGAATTGTGTACCACAAGGTACAAATTTTTCAACTTCCCAGTATGAGTCATGTCTTAAAAAAAAAAAAAAATTAAAAAGGTGTCTGAAGTATCTTTTGTAGCATTTCTCAGGGATTTGTTTCAGTTCCATGCACTGACTTGTCTTAATCTGTCTCCTCCTTGACCGATGGACTACAGGACCGATGAGCGGAGATGACCGTGAAATGGGTGAGTGGAGTCTCCAATCACTAGTTTCCTGTTGAAGTTGAAATGGGTGTTTATTTTTCTCTCTTTTTTTTACTTTCTTTGTTGTTGTTTATAGGACGGCCAGAAGAGCAGGATGACTCTGAGAACAGTACCATTTACATCACTGGCTTGACTGAAAAGGCTAACTTGGAGGAAATGGCAGAGTTCTTCAAACATGTTGGCCCAATTAGGGTAAGAAAAACTCATAAATAAATATCTCATGTTCAATTTTTTTAAAATGCACATTAGTCAGAGGAACAAAATGTTCTGTGGGGATTTCCCAAATTAAATTTAGTAAAATGATAACCCATGTATGAGGACATGTATCACTAGACTGTTACATGATACGTATGTAAAGTCTTTAGATAAGTAGAAACCTTTTGTCGGCAGGGATTTTATGCAAAGTGCTAACTGTATTGGGTTCCCTGTTTTTATTCTAATTCCCACTTTTCTCATACAAGAAATCCCTTTATTGGACCACTGTACACCATTTCACACCAGTTCTCCAGTGTTTAAAGTCTATCACAACCTGAATATGGATTTAACGACATCCTGGTTTGAAACTAAGGTGTGTTCCCTTCCCGCCTACACAGATTAACCGCAGACTTGGCCAGCCTGCTATCAACATCTACACCGATAAGGACACCGGAAAGCCAAAAGGAGACGCCACTCTGTCCTATGAGGAGCCCATCTGCGCCAAAGCAGCTGTGGAGCATTTTGATGGTACACCTCCAGACTGCACCTCACACCTCCAGTGACTACTGAGCAAAGGTCCCTTTTTTTAAAAAAAACGTCCTATGTCAATTCTCAAATACAGGAAAAGAGTTCCAAGGCCGAAGGCTCAAGGTGTCCATGGCACGGCGAAAACCAATGATGGGTGGGATGAGAGGAGGCATGCCCATGCGGGATGGGATGATGGGCCGTGGAGGTAAATGTCAGCTCCATCCGAGGCCGTCACTGTGTTTTAGCAAGCAGCTTTTTTTCTTTGAATAAATTCCAGACTTGATCGTTGAATGCGTGGATGACTGCTGTAACTTGTCAGGTATGATGGGCCGTGGAGGGGAACGTGGCGGTTTCGGCCCGCGGGGCGGTCCTCGTGGAATGGGCCGAGGCGGACCCACGGGGGGCAACATGCAGCAGAGGGCAGGGGACTGGGAGTGTCCCAACCCGTAAGTCAGCCTGTGCCTGCTCCGCCGGTCTGCGGCTGTAGACGGTCTGCTCACCCGCCCGTTTCTCTGCTCTCAGGGGATGCGGCAACCAGAACTTTGCCTGGAGGATGGAGTGTAACCAGTGCAAAGCCCCCAAGCCCGAGGGCATGGGCGGCGGCCCCCCGTTCCCCCCGGGCGGCGACAGAGGCCGGGGCGGGATGGGGATGCGAGGGGGCAGAGGCATGGACCGCGGGGGGCCGGCGGGAGTCGGAGGCCCGGGCGGTCCCGGGGGCTTCCGTGGAGGCTGGGGAGGGGACCGCGGCGGGTTCAGGGGGCGCGGTGGAATGGAGCGGGGAGGGTTCCGGGGCGCTGGGCGTGGAGGACCGCCTATGGACCGAATGGGTGGTAGAGGTGGCAGAGGAATGGGACCACCAGGTGGCAAAATGGATATGAGGTAGGCTTTTTATCCTGTAGTCAAAAGAAGGTGATATCTTCTCCAGGATGACTGTCCTACGTGATGAACTGAAAACGTGTTCATCTTGTTCTGCTTAGGGACCATCGCCAGGAGCGAAGAGACAGACCCTACTGAAGGAAAACTTCCCATTGTTCCTCTTGTGGAATTTGATTTTTAAAAGATTTTTTTATTTTTTATTTATGATTCCATATTTCAAAGGTTACAGAACTGCTGTCATACATTCAGTGCAGTTAGTCAATTTGTGGTTCTGTTTTTGTTTTTTAGTTTATCCATGTTTATGCTGCATCCCGTTTTTTTCTTCTTTTTTTTCATGTTCTTTTTTTTTCTTTTTTTTTTTTTTTTAATATGCCGAGTAGCTTTGTATTTGACATTGTATTGTAAAATGCAATATTTTCCATTAGTTGATGTAATTGCCTCCCTTTTCCCAAACCTCACAATTGTATGATGATAAACTTGGGGAAATAAAATTTTACTGATTTGATGTTTTAAGTTGTGGTTGTAGTTACTCGGCCTCACAGAATGAAACCAATAACTGCTATTTGGATCTACTGGGGCCATTTATGTCCATGTTTAGTGGATGGTTTCTTACTGGACACCCTGTTGCACCCATAGTTTATACAAGACTTTATTTTAAATTTCTGGAACTTTTAAATTTAATGAAGAATTTCTACGACCATTTTGTAAATTGTGCACCTATATGCAGACACAGGATTTACTAAACGTGCACTATAAACTGAGTATTTGTTTCCAGCTGTGGCCACAGGGAGAGTCCCACATCGGGCTTCTGTGGGGCAGATGAAAACAGATGTGGTCACATTCAAACGGTGGCGGCAGATCTCCACAGCAGATGGTTTAGTTTGACCCGGAGCAGAAGAATCAAAGATGTTTCAGAGGTGTGAGGTTGTCTGGCCCACTGCGCTCACGTTTGTTTGTGTTAAACTAATACGTAGTTTATGTAAAGCCTGTCCAGAGCTGGTGAGGTGTTTATTATGAGAATGGGGCTCAAGTGAGAAGCTCCTGCTGTTACCAGTCTGTCCAGTAAGTGGTGCTGGTTGGACTGGAATGTCTTGACTTAATCGGATCAACAGAGAAATGTTAAAACGGAATAAGTGTAAATTACCACAAATACAAACTATTAGACAATTTCAATTGAATTATTCAACCTAACTCTGCCTATAGATGATGATGTTGAATGAAAAAGTCACTTATCTGACATCTGTGTGAAGAGCTAAACTTTAACTTCATTAGCCTGACAGGAGAAACGAGCCAATGAAAACATTTTTAAAGCTTTGTTTTGTCTTAAGCTTAAGCACCATCTGTTTCCTTTCTTCTTTTTTTTTAACTGATCAGCACACCCTCTATTGTGAAAAAGGGAGAGTTATTAAGCGCAGATGTTTTTTTAAACATGTCACACATATGGCTGACTTAGGTTTTTGTTTTTTAAAAAACATCTGCAGTTAAACACTTTATGACTTTGTCCCGTAATTTAAACCTGTTCTCATTTCAAATATGTTCGGATGATACTAAACTTATGATATTCTGGATAGGAAGAATGTGACTTTAATTTTGTCATTTTAACTAATTCAAGTGGCATATCCAGACCTTTCCTCCAGTGAGACTGCCCTTTAAAGTCATGTTAGGCTGTCTGTGGGGAAAATCTGAAACACACATTGCAAACACGAGTTGATTCCATCTCACATTGGGTTCTTCTCTCCCAAAACAAAGCCCAGTAGGGCTCTGGTGCCTAGGGTGACCTGTTCCATGGCCTCTCATGGGAACTTGACTAATTAATTTTGATACTTCTCTCCTGACATCGAGTAAAGTAAATTAATGTGAATGTGTTCTCTGTTCTCAGCCCCGTATTTCCCCCTCTAATCTGTTTATTTTAAAAAATCAAACATTCAAATTAAGTTGTCTGCAGTGGTGTTCGCGAGACGGACAGATATTACTAGTAACACTCAAAGGCCACTTCATGATACAAGTCCAAAAAAACCAAAAAAAGAATGTCACAAAAGGGCCACCGTAAGAAGGCTTTATATTTGCTTATTTAAATATGAATAATGCTGCTATTCTGGGAAAATAAGGTCTGAATCAGATTCCTCTGATAGCACTGAATAGCTTAAATCACCGATGTCCACTGCTCAAGATAGTGGACCGAAAGCTTGCTGTGTGGTGGCCTGACATGGCCCTGGACACAGGGCTGGACACAGGGCCGGACAGCGTTCCACTTCTCTCTGAATATTTCACGCTTTCTTTTTAAAACTCTTCTATACCGTGATCATTTCCTCCATGTGAACACTCAAGCTGAAGTCCTCTGTGCGCGCTCTCCTTTTTACTGACAGAAAAGCTGATTCATCTGGGCCCAGAAAATGATCTCATCAACCCCCACCTTCTCCCACTTTTCTCTCTTCTACCACCCCCCCCCTTTCCCCTCCTCTGTTCTCTTAAACAGACATCCCTCTTTTTTAAATGAAAACAAACTTCCCCTCCAGGCAAAGGCTGGCCTTCGATTCAAACAATCACACTTTAAGAGCGAACACGAGCTCCTCCACAGCAGCCAGGGCCAGATATTTGGGAAGAGTTGTTGGACCAATAAGAAGCTTTTGAGCTTTGGAATGGAATGCATGTTCACACTGAACTCAGATCGTTACACAAAGTTTTACTATGAGTTTCTAGACTCGTTGATAGCAAATCCAACATAAATCTGATTTGTGTAGTGTCCCTCTTGATGCCCACAGCCCTCCTCACACCAGTCACTGTCCTGTTATTTTCTGTAGTTTGTGAAATATAAATATCTTCCCTGTCATGTGCACACAGCAGATCATGTGTCCCTGAATTGGCTTCTTTGTTATAACCCGTTAACAGCCGGTCTCACAAGGCTGGAGGACTGGATAACACTGTACTGGATTGTGTGGTCCCAAAAATCTTTGAAAGTCTGAGGATTCTCAGCTCCTGTGGACTGTGAGATCACTGATTTTTTTTTAACTGCCTGCTTCAAATCAATAATCACAGTGATTACACAACCCGTTTTTGGATAAGCTGCTCCACTTGTGACTTATAACATCCATTAATCATTGCTTAGAATAAACAGTTAACAAGGAGGATCTTCAACTAAACAGAGGTGTTATCTCGCCATTCTTTGTAAGCCAAAGAAAGGCATTCATTGACTGTACTTTGCTTGGTAAAGAGGGTGAACAGAAATAACTCTATTATTGTCATTTAGAAGGGGAACCAAAGGGGAAATCACGCTGCGTGTCGGTGGGTTTTCCTGCCCCTGAAACGCTGACGTTTCGGCTCCGTGAATCTAAGATCGGTGAACAGGGGGTTAAGTTTTTTCAAGCCGAGCGTTGATCCTCCGTAATGGGATGTGCCTCCGAGCCTCTGCTGGTTTAAGCCACAGCAGGTCAACGTTTCCAGCGCAAGAGGCGGCGCAACGCGGCCTGAGCCTGCGCGCCGTAGGGGGGGGGGACGCCAGCTGAGCACCGAGCCAGCCGGGGACGAGGAGTGGGCCCCCGCGGACAGACATGGTGACACGTGGAAATTCCGGGAGCCTTGGGCCGTCCGGTCACCCTCTCGACTGACCGGATCCCGTCCCCTTTTTTTTTCCTGCTCCCGGCGCGCCACCGGGAGATGCGTCCTACAGAGGAGGAGGAGGCGGCTTTCGTAGACATCCGGAAAACGCGTCCGTGCGCCACTCCGACCACTCCGCATCCCGGTATGCTCCTGGCAAAACACAAAGCCCGGCTCCCGACAGCTCCCGTAAGGAACCGCACATGCAAATCGGCATGGGTGCGTCAACGCGGTCGTTGCGCGACGTTTTGCGGATGAGGACCCGGAGCGCCGTTGTGCAATGAGCCACTCGGGGATCATCAAGTAGACTTTTTTTATTGATACATAATCGGGCCAACAACATGGCTGATCAGAGCAACATTCAATCCGCCGCCTCCAAGAGCATCCGGCCCTTTAAATCCAGCGAGGAGTACCTGTACGCCATGAAGGAAGACCTCGCCGAATGGCTCAACACCCTGTACGAGCTGGACATCACTGCGGACACCTTCATGGACGGGCTGGGGACGGGCTGCGCCCTGTGTCGGCACGCCAACAACGTCAACCGGGCCGCCCAGGACTTCCAGCGGACCTACCCGGAGGCGGCGCACTCCATGAAGGTGCCGTCCAAAGACGTCGTCTTCCAGTCGCGCAACGTCGTCCCCGGCTCGTTCGTGGCCCGGGATAACGTGTCCAACTTCATCGCGTGGTGCAGGCAGGAGCTGTGGATCAAGGACGTGCTCATGTTCGAGACCAACGACCTGGTGGAGCGATGCAACGAGAAGAATTTCGTCCTGTGCCTGCTGGAGGTGGCGCGGAGGGGCTCCAAGTTCGGCATGCTGGCCCCCATGCTGATCCAGCTGGAGGAGGAGATCGAGGAGGAGATCCGGGACCAGGAGAGCTGTCGGGTGGACGGAGGGGAGCCGGAGGAGAAGAGCTCACCCGGCAGGTGCTACGGCCGGAAGGTGAGCTGCCAGAGCGCGGAGGATGAGGATGAGGATGAGGATGAGGAGGAACCCGACCCGGAGCCCTTCGTCTGGCCTCAGAAGAGAGTCTTATGCGACATGCGGAATCTGGACGAGCTGGTGAGTTTCCTAACGACCCTATTGACTTCACAGGAACCGCAACTGACCTCCTAACTTGCTGTGATGGATGGGATTGTTTGTCTCTAACGTGATTACCTCTCAGCTCACATATTGAATCATACTGCGGGTTTGTTGGGAAGTCATTCTCCCTGGATAATGAATCCAGTTTCCCACGAGCCTTTGGCCTTGGCCTAAAGTCAACAACAGTATCATGTGTGCTTTTCGTGTGCCAGAACACCTGATGGAAGACCAAAACAAATCTAGAAAACTAGCACAGAGATGATAGAGACGCAGTGGTCTCTGACGGTGCCATATCAGAGTTACAAAGAGGCTCTGTGCCTCAGGGGCTCCCCGTGGAGTGGGCGTGTTTTGGAGCATGCTGTGAAATTCCTGCTCACCTGTAGAGTCAGTTTGTGTTTCACACCCAGGTTCTCTCTTCTCCTCTGAGGGAGCTTTGGAAAGCCCCAGTTTGGCGATAGTAACTAAGTGTTTTACCAAATGAATTTGACTAAGTTCTGGTAGAAATCCCCCTTTTGCATTTTGGTTTTAGCCATCATCATTCTCGTTTTGAGCTGGTTGACCTCTGGCTTTGCCTCCCGGTCGAGTCGGAGCGAGGCTGGGGAGCAGACAGAGCAGAGAGAGCGCACCGGGTTGTGTGAGTGATGGGGCGGTTAATGATTTTAAGTTCATCCAGATGAACAATGTGAGTCTTTGACGGTCGGGAGGGCGGGAGACAGCGGCCCGGCACACTCAGGCCTGTCGGCGGGGTGCTTATTGTGTGACCTCTGCTGACCGAAAGAGGAGGAGAGCATGAGCAGGAGGAGGAGGAGGAGGAAGAGGAGGAGGAGGAGGAGAATGTGTTTTGTGCTTTTCCAGATCCTGCATGTTCTCACTCATATGACCGGGTGCTTGGGATTATACAAGCTAACTGCAGTTTTGGGACACATTGTCACAGGAGAGCTTGTGATGCAACGACCCCCCCCCCCCACACACACACACACACCTTCTCCCTTTCTGCTCCTGGCACATTCTTCAGCACACAAACTCCGGTGTCATCTATCAGATGGAGAGATTCACACATCACACAACGTCTGACTGACACAGGAAGTGACCTCCTATTCAAAATATTTCCAGAGATTTAAATCTCTGTCCTTTTTTCAGACGTGCGCCGCACAGAGCAGAAAGCATCCTCCGCATTAAGCCACTCAGACCGGAGACCTCAGCGATATTTAGAGCTGAGGCAATAATTCTAAAATAGTCGATCACTGTCAACGGAAATGTGAGGTGTTTGCTGTGTTGCACAAATAGATCCAGTCCTACGACCTCACCTCTTTGTGGTTAGATTCTCATTAGGGGGAAAAGATGTGTTGCAGAGTTTTTATGGGAAATGCATGACATAAGACGGCCGTTTCTCTTGAATTAATTCGATCAATATATGAGTCTCGGGCCGAAGACAAAACTGTCGGTGTACGTCCACTCTGTTACTGTCCCTTTTAATGGTCTTTTTAATGAAGATCAGTGTATGCCCACTGACTTATTTATTCTACAAGGTTTTAAAAGACACGATCAACTGGGGTTCCAATGATAAATACGCCTTGTTACTGGGACTTTCACTTTGGAGACGGCGTAGTTTGTGGTTTGTGGTTCATATCATTGTTGGAGTGGCAGATAAAAGCTAATAATTATTTGCAAAAGCATGCATGTAGCCCTACATGCATTTATTAAATCCAGGTATTTCAAGGAGGATATCAACATGAGATTTACTATTCAAAGATGGGCCATTTTTTTATTAAGATTGAAAGAAAGACAGCTCTTACCTGGGCTGGCAAAGAGGGGTAAGAGGGTTATTTATATCTGTTCTTCTGCTGGTAAACTATGGATGAGTATCATGCACTAACAGGCCTTTCACTGTTTTGTTTGTATGCTCTCTATAAATACTGATTCTCTTTTTTAAACAATGCAAGTGTGGAAATAATAGGATTACCTCTAAGAGAGTAGGGATATGTAGAGACAAAGCTCTCTCAAATGCTCTTTGTATACATCTGGCCATTGAGTAATCAAACCCACTGTGAACACTCATGCAGCAGGATTGCGACTCATGACGTGTTACATCAACTACATGCTGCAAACAATAGGTATGAGCTTCTGATGTTCTCACTGCCGCTGTGTTTTCCTCTGAGTGTCCTCGGCTTACTCACCTTGCAGTTGGATGAATTTCCTCTCTAAATCTGAGGAAGTGTCTACATGTCTCATTTCTTTTGTCCTGACTTCAGTGAGTTTAAATGTTCTCTTTTCTCTGTTCTGGTGGCAACAGTTGTGCCATATCTCCGTATATGTTTACACAAGTTTATCCTTTACATTAAGGGTTTACTTTCTAAGTGCTTTTAGAGAGGATTTTTATGACTGTGATTTGATTGATACGCCGAATGGATCCTGGCATGCCGACAAGGTATTTCCATTAGTCCTCCTTAGAGCCCATTTGTACAAACTCAAGCAATGCACCTTATTGTGTATATTTAACAGCTGAAACTTTACATAGCGATGCTATCGTGTGGTCCAGCCAACTGCATGCAGACTGTCATCCATACTGTAACATATCTGAGCTCACAAACAGACCACAGGGGATTCATGGTCCTTGTTGGATTCCTTCAGTCAGCCTGTCTGCTTCCTGCTCGCTCATATAAACTGGTTCATATCTCTTCTCACCCCGGGCGTCACATTCAGCCCTTGTTTAGTTCACATAAATGAGCCGTCGCTCCCATCCCCCACACCACTTTCCACTGGAGATGATAAAGCAAATAGTGGAACCTTATGTCTTCCATGTTGTCATGGAAGAGAGGAAATGAATAGACTGCCACTGTCCGTAGACAAGTAATCAAAGGCAGACATCTCGGTCTTTGGATGGAAACACCTCCAGAGGACAGGGGTGATGCAGGAAGAGACTGTGTGTATTGTCCCTGTATGAACGCACCGCTCCATTAACCTTACGGTTCAATTCATGCATTGAGGGAACAAAAAAAAAAAGAACGCAGACAACAAACAGGCCGCCCCGAGTGACTTCACCATCCACTCCGTTAAACCTGACTGGAGTAGATGCTGCTCTGGGAGGCAGAGCTACTGCGGGCAGAGTGACGGGAGAAAGTAGGTCACAGTGCTTTACGTTGGGTCACACTCAAATGCTTTGCTGAGAGAGCATGCGAGCCATCAGTTTCACTCGTGTCCGGGGTTTTTTGGGGGGGTTTTAAAGGTTGTTTTGAACTACAACAGTCTCAACGCTTGTTTTGTATGGAAACATTTGACTCCCCACTTTGCATATTTCCCGCTTTATGCCTTTATGGGAGCGTTTGACGCTATCAGCTAATCATTTGCATGATAATCTGATAATTTGGTGTCTGTCTGAACAGGCTCTTTCCGTCGGTAAGACGGATGGAGCCTCCTCATGCTCGCCTGGGATGAAGATGGAATAAAAATCCTCCTAATATCGTTTGGTTCAGGCAGAATTCAGAATTCTGTTAAGCCTCATCAAAACAAGTGGGTAAATGGGTTATGCCCAGGCCTGATGTTTAACTTCCCATACAGAGTGATTTGATTTCTGTTCAGACTGAAGCGAATGCATTATAGGTATGGATCCCAAAGCTTTAGATGTTCATCTGATTCTTACATGGTTCCTGCTCCTGATGGGCTGTTTGTCGTAGTGCCAGAGGACAGGAATTGATTTGCAGAGAATGGATGCCTTGATGCAGCAAATTATTTTGATCCTGGAGCAAGTATGATTACATTTTTGAAATTCCACCAAATGAGCAACACAATGTATGAAATCACATAAGAAGCATTCGATTCTTTAGAAAACAGCCACAGGACTAGGTTTGACGTCTTGTTTTTTCCTTGTTTGAGGTAAGAAAACACACTCTATAACTTCCACCACCTTTTAACCATATTTATCACTGCTCAGATATGATGATACAGTGCATCTGCTCAGAAAAATAAAGATACTGCAAATGGTTTCGTTAACTGTTTGGTCATCATTAGAAAAACTGGCTTTCAGGTTGTTTTCTGTTTCGTAAGAGCCAGGCTTGGTGTTTATCCTTGTTGAGACTTGCTAGTTAGCTGCTGGCTCTAGTTTTAACCTTTAAGGAGACCTGCCTACATTATTCCGCCTAACTTGTTGTCAGAAGAAGTCGAGTTACATGCCCTTGATTACAAAACACCACTTCAATGTGTCTTTAGTGTTTAGCCAGTTTCATGGTAAACAAGGAACGTTGCCCTTAACCTTACCAATCGAAGGCATGCCTATTTTTTCAAAAAACCTTTTAGGAGCTCATGAACAATCCCCTTGTTTTTGTGTATCTATGTGCAGTCACAGTTTTTTGCCAGAGAGTCTGTTTAGATCGCTAAAGGAGAATGCAAATGAACAGATTTGTCAAAAACAATACATCGTTATCATGTTTTTGAGAAACTTTAGGGGAGAAAAATCATTTAAGACGAGAAAACAGCAATAATGATCAAAACTCTAATAACTTACCTGAGGAAAAATATAAATTGTGGGGAAAAGGTTGGATGCAGTGATTTTGAGTGGAAGGTGTTGCATTATTTTTCGTCTACCCTGATTGAAACACTTATGAAATTCAATATCAAGCCAGGAAGATCAGTAAACTGCGCCCTTCAGACTTGCTGTAAATGTGAGTAATTTGTTTATTCTGCCCGTGTGAGGGTGTTAACGGCCACACCTGACCTTGAGGCGTTCCGCCATTTTTGTTTTTCCATTTTTCTTGTTAGACTTCTTCGACCCACAGCTTATTGACTTATTTCCTCAAGCTTCCATTCCAAACAAATTAGAAAACATGATTTGGGCACTTATACCTCACCCTTTTAACCTCTTTTGTGCAATCATTTGAGTAGAGGCAGTGTCCTTTTTCTAAGCACAGCAGACATTATGCTGGCTGTCAGAGAAGTGGTTTAATAGTAGCATATGGTTTGATATGTAGCTGTTTTTTTATAGTGCTGCTAAATCTTGGGCAGCTTACTTATGGGTGTTGCTCTTCTAACCTTTTTAGTTGGAGAAATCTTTGTCCTGACAAGCAGGCGCCCCTATTGGCTCTGCTCTCTTGTCTCTCTGTGCTTATCTGATGAGGAGCTTGTTTTTTCTCTTGAGAAGTTTCCAGGCTTCGGGGCATGCCCATTAACTGACAGAAGAGTCTTGTTCTGTCATTTTCGTCAGAAGATAACCTCGGGTTTACTGATTGTGCAGTTCTTTATAATCTTTTTTAAAACTATCAGCTCGCGCAGGAGTAAAAGCTTTTGAGTGCTATTGGAAATTCATATGAAGTGAGTTGTAAAGTTATATTTCATTGTTGGAACTCAGAAAATAAGCAGATAGAGGATGCTGACTCATGGAGAACTCAGACAGACATTCAGAAGGACCTATGACTTATGATCAAATATCAGCCACAAAACCAGTGAAAAACTCCATAGAGACAGTTGTTATAGTTTGCACACTTGCATCACAACGACCAATAAAATGTTATAACTATATGACACAACAATACTGGCAACTTTGGACTCTTCTTGGTCATGTCATTGTTTTATTAAAGTTATTTATTACGGTGCAACGTAGTCTAAAGTTAAAATGAATGGAGACTGGGCAGAGTAAAAATCTAAACATCTTTATCTGGTCCCCTCCCATTTCCTGTCTTGATCCCCAGGGTTCACTCAGTTCTTGGCCTCTGCCTACAGTATCTGTTCCATGACTGCGCACTCTGATGTCTGAAGGTCAGGAAGGAAAAGAATAAAGATGGTTGGTTCATGCTGAGCAGATATGGAATGCCCCTTTTACACGGAACACGTCAGAGAAAAATGCGTCTACTCGACTCAAATAGAGGATCACACAAGTTTCTCTTTCTCTTTCAACAACTCTGAATTTCCATCTTAAAATAGTCACAGCAGATCCTCTGCTCCCTTGTATCGATTGTTCACTCTTATTTTTTCTTCTCAAACATCTGCAACTATTGCCGAAAGCGTCTCATGTCTTCATCTATAATTCATCCCTCAGTTTTTCGCAGCATTCCTGCTCCACTTCCGCATGTTTCCTGCATGACCTTTTCTCTCTCCCCCCTCCTTCTATCTCATTCTGCAGTGTGTGTGTGTGTGTGTGTGACGGCATGTTTTGCCTTTAGTATAGTCGCTTTTGTTGACAAAGTAAAGACATGGTAAGTGCACCCATATCGTGCTGAAGGCTCCTCAAAGCAAATGTTTCAGCTGTCAGATCTGCTATCGATTAGGTTATTTTTTTAAGCACGTCATGTCTGAATCCGTTTCATATGAGACACTGAGTGAGTCTGCCACCTCCCCACTTGAGGAACAGTTATGATCTCAGCTGCTCAGCTGTGGGGGCTGGAGGCGGTACAATGGCAAGAATAAAAAAAACAAAAAAAACAAGAAAAAAACCCAAGGCAAACTGTACAGTCAAAAAGGGAAGAGGGGGACTATGTGTGTGTCTGTTACCATAGAAATCTTTCCATTAACTCACTAGCTGGGGGTTTTTCCAAACTGGGTTGGTCAATCTTCTGACTGAAAGGAAGACGGGGTAGCTGGGAAGAGAAAAAGAGAAGGAACAAGCAAAACAAAAAGAAGGCAAGTACACTGTTGGTCACAGGCTAAAAATAAAGACTAATTTGCAACCAAGTGAGGGAGAGAGAGCCGTGGCTCTGAAGGAGCAGGTGAAACAGAACAGAGGGCCAGGTTAGCTGCCCAGGCTTAACTCTGATTCCTCCCTCTTTAATTATTGTGGGACAAAAGAAGGGTGCCATTTCAAGAAAATGACTAGGTGCTACCTTGATCTTCTGAATAATGAATGTGCTGGAGGCTGAACACACATGTGGCAAAAGCAAAGTATATCCCTTGAGCCCTGTGTACTGCATGAAAGGGGCTGTAAAGAGCTAAAGGCTAGTGGTTCACAACCCCAAATCTAAGTAATCTCAAATCTCATTTGAGCACTTTAAAACGAAAAATAAAAAAACTCCTGGTGCCGGTGCACTCTGTTATAAACATGCTCTCTCCTGCTTGTGTGCTTTCTTTCATTCTGGTGCTCCACTTTCTCTCCCCTCTTTTTGCCGACGAGTGTGCACACGCCTTTGTCTGAGGGAGACGCCAAGACAAACATCGCAGCTGTCCAATCAGGCGGGAGCAGAGGCATTTGCAACACGGGCCGATCTCACTCCACCCTGCAGTTGTATCTGACTCCTAGTTGCCTAATAAGCACCCCGCTGACCACAGCAAGGGCGCCGGCTTTGGCTCTCTCAATTCAAAACCCAGCTGGTAGCACATGTCTGCTGACATCATTGCTGCCACCAGTCTGGTTTTTGTACTCTTTAACCCTTTCTGTTCACAATGTCACAAGAAGAAATCTGTGCCAGAGAGCTACTAAATGTTCCCGGCAAGTCCAGATATGCATTTATGTGGGGAGTGACCCAAAGTCTTCTGGCAAGATGAAATGAAGGAAGCTTTTCATGTAGTAAGACAGCAGGGCGGGGCATTTTTATCACCCAATTAGGTGCTTGGAGAGAATATCTGGCAGGAAAATGACACACTCCAACACATCCATAGTCTGGCAGCCAAGACTGCTCATTTCTCACACTGTGGAACAGTCATTGTGTTGTTGACACATGGCGTCAGCATCACAATGGTCCAGCAGTGCTTTAGTCACAATTACAGATTTGTGTGACTAAACATGATCCCCTCTCGCAGAAGAGGAAGCGGCTGACAGGTTGCCCTCATGTGTGAGTGGTCTTTGTCTGCCTCAAATGTTAAAATGTCGTTTTTCTTCTCAGGTTCGGGAGATTCTCGGCCGCTGCTCTTGTCCAGCTCAGTTCCCCATGATCAAAGTATCCGAGGGGAAGTACAAAGTGGGAGACTCCAGTTCACTGATCTTCATCAGGGTAAGCCCTCTTCACCAGAAACCTTGTTCAGGTCTATAGATGACTCACCTTTTCTTTCTAGATTTAAATTAAAAAGTCCCAACACAAGAAGAAATGCATTTTGTTTGTGAAATTAAATAGTTCCCATTTGAGCTTGGGCCATCAAAGGCAAAAACTTTGCCTCACATTTAGCAGTTCTTTTAGTGGAAAGAAGTTAAGTGATTTATAGTTGTTGTATTGCAGGAATGAAGTTTGCATTTTGCAGTTTTTATTATCATGATGCAGGTATAAATATTTTCTGAAGTTATATGTTAAAGTAATGGAGCACTCCACAAAGCTCCCAGCATGGGTCAATTCTTTTCACTTAGCAGCTGCCTCGCAGTCAGACATTTTTCTGCTTTATCCATCTCTAAAATGTAAATCAAATCAAATGTTCTGGATGTAGGCCGGAACAATTAGAAGCCTTCATTCACTCCCGGCACCTGTGCAACCGACGACCAAAGAGGCCTGTTTGAAACAAAGCTGTAAGCCAGGGTAGAATTAAAAATCTTTGCAATCTATTGAAAATGTTGGCACACACTGGAGGTGTATGTTAGATATGCAGTACTACATTCAAAAGTTGATATTTAGAGACTTTTTTGGAATTGCCAGAGCTAAAAAAAATCTGAAAACTGACGGAAAAACCACACGACAAAAATAAAGTGTAGATATTAATATTTCTAAATCATACTGGAGGTTTGAAGTTACTGATGTTCAGCTCGTGTTTGGCATATTGCACTGTGGGCGTGGGGTAATTGAGTGGAACCATGTGGGGCTGCCATATGGCTTCATGTGTTGTTTGGAGAGGAACATGGTTATACAGCAACAGATCCACCACTCAGCTACTCTGCTACTTGACCTAATCAGTCCCTAGTGAACCCATAGTGAAATGCATGTAACACCGTTGAGATTCCTCTCTCTTTTTCCTGCTTACGTAAGTGTTTACGTGCTGCCTTCATCTGGTCCTCTGCATAAACGCAAACGTTTCTATGCAGACGCAAATAGAAATTTAAGTCATTTCCTGAGTTCTCCTTATCTCAGCTGTAGCCTGTTCCTGCCAGACTGTTTGTCTCATTCTCGGTTTAGGACTTTTTACTGTACCCACTCCTGGCCTCAGCGGACAGTGAAATGAGGCTAGTTGATCCCCAAAGATTGATTTTGTCTCACTTACCTTTAATCTATCACAGACGGATTAATGGACTCTGAGTAGTGTTCCAGTTTGCCTGTCTTTGTATTACACTTTTGGATTCCCTTGATGTTAGCAATATCAGTGCTTTTCCTTTTCCAGTGGCACCGCTCGGTCCACGGCAGGAGATGTGATATCCACTGTGTGATGAGTCACATTGCACTATAAGCAATGTCTAAGAAACATTTGCCTGTGCATACTCTGTTTGAAACAGCTGAGAAGGATTTAATGACTTTACTTCATGTAACACAGGGCGAACCAGTGCTATTGGTGTTTCCTGTTGACACACGCCTTGTGCTATTTGAACACAGAATCCCTCTGAACTTGCACATTTCCCTACATTTATCTTTGATAATAAAGAATATGTCGTCCTTTTACAGTAGCTGCTATGCGCTTGTGAGGTGAAGTTTTGTAACTGCAAACTAAAGACGAATATCAAAATGTGGTTAAATTCCTGATAATTCTTGATCTTTCAAGAAAGGTTACAAAAATCATTATTTGATTTAAACAAAAGATTATCCATAAGATACAGAACACAATAAAAGGAACAACTATTATTTGCTGGGACTCTATTAGATCACCTTGATAATTTGATTTGGATTTTCCTATTGATTCCACAAGGGAACTTTATTTTTACAGATCGCAGTTTGTTACTAACCTGGCAGAGTGAAGAGTCAGCACAGATTAGGGACTAAATGAAACGGAGAATAAGACAGAACCATGCTCCCAACAATGGTAGCGTATCAGTGCAAAGGCCTCCTGTCTAACCACGGAGAATCACACCAAAGTTTGCTTTCAGTTGGCGTTCATTCGAATGAGTGATATTTAATCAGAAGTGCTATCTCTGTGTTGTCAGATCCTTTAATCCAAACTATTATCATTTACTGCTTCTCCAAAAAAGACGAGACATTCTTCCATAAGGGGAAAAAAACATGACCCTTCCTCTTCCCTGATCTCTGTCTGTGTCAGTGAGATGTTTATTCCATGTTAACATGTAATTGCCTCTCTGAGCAGCATTGTCAGTTCAACAGATACATTCCAATATGAAGCGGACTTTGATTGTTTTGCTATCTTTGAGCAGTTGTCTCGTCATGCTGGCTCTCGTTACACCATTTCCTCCCTCTCCTGATTCATAGCAGGGGATGATGAAGATTATGCTCAAGGCCAAGCAGCTACAAGTGCACCCAACACACTTCCTTTATTCTGATGGGCGGAAACTGGCAGACGCTTTGCTTTAACAGGCAACAAACCCCTATTCAGCTACCAAAGCTGTGACAATGATGTTGGGCCAATAAAGGGGCTGGAGCACGGAAAGCAAATGGGAGAAAGGAGAGGGTGTTGATGGTGTATTGTTGTTCATGAGAGATGTTCCTCTTCAGGTTGACGTGACTACAATTGGGGGTGAAAAAACAGCAGACGTGAAGCATGAGCCTAATTTTTTTTAAACTCAACATCATGGTTTGAGAAGAAATCGCTTTAATATGCCCCAGCAATGTTCACAAGAAGTCTCCATTCACTGTTGCTATAGAAACAGGGATCGGGTCTCTCTAGTGGTGAAGACTGTGAAACCCCCTCAGCGGTTGGGAAAGCTGGCAGCGGAGCTGCAGACATAAAGTGGAACGTGGGTCACAAACATCTTTTTAGCCTCAGGAGGTTCACTAGTGCTGCAGCATCATGTATAAAATATCATATGCGTGGTAAACCTATTGGATAAATTTATATCCCAATTACAATGCTATTTTGATAACATTGAGACTTAAATTAATTACAAAAATAGTGCACTTTGAGTTTAATTGTTTCATATTTCATATGCGGGGTTATCCTCAACATGTAAACCTACGTCTGCAAGACATATTTGTGTTTTGTTTAGTATTTTACAATCAATGAGACGATCATTTGGGTTTTTGTTACTAGTACCATGACACTTGCACCTCAGTCCTGTAGAAAAACAGTACCAAATATATTAAATGAGTAGTAATTCAAGTCTTTTAATGTCGGTGGAAGCATCCAGTGTGCATTGCAAAAATCCTTCTAAGTGGACCTTTTTAATCTCTCTATTGTGCCGTCTGAGGCCGACTGCTGTGATACCTAAAATATGATGTGTTATTAGCCGCGTGCAGCCCTGCTCTTCACTGCTGGCCTGTGATGGTCACACAGCATCCCGCAAACAGCAAAGCTGCTTTTGGCATACGGTCAGCGCCGTGAGGAGTAAGCAGTTTATATCCCCAGGTCTGGTAGAGATAAGCAGATCAGCTGTTTTGACGGATTTGAATTGGTACGGCAGGAAGTGAGAAGACACGCCGTGGATTGGTAGGGATTGTGTTGGAGAGGAGCTGGGGTCAGACTCTGGTGCGCATGCATGGTCCCCAGCCTCTGTTTGACCGTGGTCTGGGTACTGCAGAGGAGAAGCAGAGCCACGTGTGTGCGATGGCGTGGACATAAACTACGTGCCAGCCAGCACAGATTTTCACATTATGGTTAGCCTCATGTGCCCTCAAAGACATGGGCACAGCCTTTAAAACATGTGGCAGGCAGACAGTGTTACACAACCCAGAGCATGGGGGATGCTTCCATGGGGCTGTCACATCAAGGAAAGTGTGCTGCTTCAATAAAGGCAGCCTCTGCCTGGAGGGAGAGAGACTCTGTGGTGTCTCTCCTTACAGATGTGTGCACTAAGAAGAGCAGAATTTGACATATCTACAACCCCCCCCCCCCTTGTTTTGGCTATCTGAAGATAACGGAAATATCTTCCGAAATGTTCATTCACCTTACTGCCCTAAGGGGGAAAACCGGGGGAAGACAGCTAAGAGTGAGAGAGTCAAAAACAGGGTTTCTTTTTCAGAACCTGGTCTTTTTATCGTCCCACCACACTCTGCTTAATTGTGTCTTGGCGTGGTAATAACAGCATGCATAATGGAAGCAGCTGGGGGTGATGTGGGAGAAAGCTTAGAAAGGAGGTTGTGTCCAGACCTTATGCAACACCAACTGTCAGCAAACTTTCCATCTCCAATGCAGTATGCATTTTAGAAAATTACACCTGTTTATTACAGTATAAGTATGTATGTTTGCATCATTCTTTAATATTTGTCTTTTTTTCTCCCTCAGGTCCTACGCACTCATGTGATGGTGCGTGTCGGAGGGGGCTGGGACACACTAGAGCATTATTTGGATAAGCACGACCCATGTCGTTGTGCTGCTTTTGGTGAGGTCACTTCTTTTTTTTGGTTGCATGAAGCTACGACGCGATACTCAGTAACTAAATATTCACACTGTATTAAGCGCATTTTTGCCATTTTACTGATTTAGCATAGCTTTATCACCATGCAACAACCATTCAGTTGGATTTTTTTACCCTCTGCCATAAAATATGAGTCTTGAAAAGACTGTAGTCGTTTTCTAAAATTCTTCTACAGCAGGCAATTAACTTCAATATGGTTGGAATGGTTGTCAATGCAAATGCAGACATTGTTTAAGCAGTGAGATTTTTTGAAAAATGAACACGTTCATATTTTTAACATGCATCTTTAAAAAGATTAAATCAAGCTCTGAAATTAACAAAGAGCAACGACACAGCAATACTGTAACTGTCAACAGGTTCATAACAGTTTATGTTGCCTTAAATTCAACATGTAGCTTGAATAGTTTGCTCTGCTAACACGGTGCAGTGTTTTTGGCTGGGGTTCATGCATTGCTTGCACGCCCATCAATTATGTGATCAGCGGAAGGATGTCCATAACTATGCTGGGTGAGACCATCCATCCTAACCCAAACTACTATTTAAAGGGCAGAGGATAATCATCTGGACAGATGAGTGCAGCTGAAACCAAAACTGGTGTTCTATTTCAAGCTTGATTCCGTAGATTCACTTGTCTGATGTCTATTTTTTTTTTTCATCTCTGATTATCGTTCAAGCTTTTTGCATGTGTGGGTTAAAAGTCTGTCTGAACTCCATGTTGTCACTCTTGTCTCCACAGCCCACCGTTACCACCAAGCCAAAGCCAGCGGCCAAGGTCAGGGAGCTCAGAGCAAGTCCTCAAGCGCCCACTCGTCTCGCTCCACCAGTCCAGGCCCGCACTGGCGGAACGACGGCATCGCCCCGTACAAACCTCCGGACAGGCGTTCCTTGGAACCCCTCTGCGTTCCCAACGCCCCCTCTTCTTCGTCATCCTCTTCCTCCTCACGACCGGGCCGATCTCAGAGCTCGTGTGTCCCCACAGAGCCCGACTCTTGTGCGGCGCGTACTCTGCTCCCGAGGCCGCCACGAGACCGCTCGGAGCCTCGCCACTTTAATCCTCTCAGGTGAGCGTGTGTGCGTGAAGGCGCAGAGAACTGTGATGCCTATAATCTCTCGGAAGTGGCTTGGCAGGGGAAAGCTGGTTTTTGCTGCCCACAGACGCCGGGGCGGGCAGACAGGGCACACACACAGAGTTGGAAAGAACAATGAAATACTCGAAGCTACAGATTAGAGCAGATCAGATTGATCTAATCCCAGGTGACATCGCCATGGTAAATCCACTATTCACTACCACTGTGCAATGCCCCCCTATGGATGGAATGTAGGCAATAATAACTGCTTGTTTCTGCTTTTCTCTCCCCCACTTTCCTTCAGTTAATTATTCTGTATACCAAACCATCTATCATAGCAGGAATTTGGACAATTTTATTGTTTCTAAGACAGACAGATTTTTTAAAACAGTACATGGTAAATTGCAAATAAAACCACAAAAGAATCTTCCCAGATTGGCTGCTGAAGAGGTTTTTAATAGAAAAATTGGTTTGCATACGGCTCTTTCTATAGGGGTATTAAGGTAATTAAAGAAAGAAGTTGGACCAGTCGCATTCCTTCTCAGCTTGTTAAGTTCGCTGGAACCATTTTTAACACTGTTAATAAAGAAGCTGAAAGATGTTTTACATTGGCTACATGCCAATATGTTGCTCAACTATTGCTTAAAAGTAATAGTTCAACCAGATGTCAAGCTTTTAGTGGATTCAGATTAACCTGTGTGGCCAGGGCATTTCCCTTCACATGCAACAGACAGGATAAAGGCTAATCTCACCACTATCCCCAAGCAACTGTTCACCTTTGACTGGGGAAGTAGGTCAACAGGTGGATGCAGCCCAAAGAAACCTCGCTTTGTGGGTATTTATTAGGATAAATATAAGTTCAGTGTGATAAAACAGTAATTAAAGGCACTGGATGGGACTGTTGCTTAAAAACTGAAATGTATCTTCAGCCTAATTTTCAAGTAAAAAAATCACGCACCCCTAAACTGTCTGGAGTTCAGATACAGTCCTCATATATCTGTCAAATTCAACCAGCTGATAAGTTGATTTAAGACCTCCAATTTTCATTCAAGAAAATATTGTATTGATGAACACTTATCACATTTATCCCGGGTTGTTCTTCATCTTGTATAACTCATTAGCTGATTTAACAGTTAAACCTGATGATCCGGCTGAAATGGTGTCTGGTTCAGAAACGAAATTGGTGTGTGTCGGGTTAGAAAATGGATGAGACCGCTAATCCTGCCCCCACTGGCTCTCATCTTCCCTCTAATCCCCCTGACTGTCACTGCCCACTCTTCCAAGACACACACGAGGCTTAGGTCAGTATTAAGTTGGAAAGGCTAACAAATCCCTAATATTGCTGAAAATATACCCATGTCAGGATATGAAGGCCGAAAATATAAACCCGTGTTTTGAAAAGTGATTCTGACTTGTTGTTTTATGAATATAAATATCTACCTCTGCTTTACATGGCAGGAATAAGGAGACAATGATGACAAGGCGACTCTCTGGAGACAGTGACTCCTCTACAGCGTCCTCTAAGGGAGGAGGAGGAGGAGGAGGAGGAGGAGGAGGTGGGCGACACTCTCTTGGGGGTACTCCACGGCGCTCTGGTGAAGAAGTAGTTCTGCTTGTCAACCGCAAAGAAGGAAAGCATGTGATCGAGAGGACGGGAGCGAGAAATCAGACCCCGTCCTCGCGTCCCACGGCGCCTCGTGCTCGAAGTCAATCGCGGGAACGTGCTCCGCTCACTCCAATACTCAAAAAGCCCAACCCACCGCCGGCGTCGTCGGACGCAACGCGCTCGTCTCGCACGGAGAGGGGGCGTTCGCTTGGTAACGAGGGCCCGAGGAGGCTCCATGCCCCGCGTTCCCACAGCCAGAGCAAGGTGACTGGCCGCACATGGTCGAACGACGGCAGCCCAGCCCCCGCCCACAGAGACCATCAGTTTCCATCATCGGAAAGACGAGAAGACCCTCGGAATAAGCAGGCCCCCCCTTCCTCCCCAAGAGTGGGGGTTGGGCTGACTAAGAGGCAATCGTCCTCATGTTCGAACTCTCCTATTAAAGGAATCCAGAGCAGCAACAGCAGCCCCAGCAAGAAGACTATCACCACCCCCAGACCTCCTGCTCCACGCTCGCCGTCCTCTGGGAGAGGAAGACTCCTCCCGCCCGTCAGCTCGGGAGGGCGGCGTTCTCCCCACGCGTCCCCTCGTAGCTCTCATCATCATCATCATGCTGCCCGCTCCCCGCGCATCCTGCACCCTCCCCGCTCAGCTGGCCGAGGGGGCCAGAGACACGCGTCCGGCTCGGAGTGCCAGGAAACCGAAGAGGAAGGCTTCGGCTTTCAAATGCTGCCAGCGCTGGACCCGCAGAAGGAGCAGGACCTCTATCGCAGCTTTGAGGCCGAGTTTCTGGCCAACACACAGCAGGTCAGAGAAGTTCCTGTTGGCAAGGCTCCGGGAGGAGCGGCGATGCAGGTGTGTGTGCCCACTGATCCTAATGTCACAGACTCCTCTTCGAACTCCTCGTCTTCGTCCCTCAATGTGGGTTCAAGGGTTGGAATGCTCCCCGACCTCAGGGAATCCAGGAGGACTAACCTTCGTCAGTTCCCTCCAGAAGATCCCTTAAATTTACTTTACGGACACAATCATGGTTTTGGTCAAGGAGAGCCTGAGCATTGGGGGGAGCGCAAAGGGGGTCTCAGAAAACTCCCAGCCATCTCCAGTTCAGTAGAGGAGAGGGAAATTCCTTCCTC